AATAAAGATGATTGTCTGGTGCAAAATAAAGTGTCTGTTGGAATAATGTAGCAAGCTGATAAAATAGCAAATTGAAAACATATGCATTATGTGTTGGAAAGGGAACGGAAACTATGTGTAACATAAGCTGAGGCTGTGTTGGAGTCTGTTTGAGCTGTCTTTCCTCTCTGGTACTATGCACTCGAGTTTGTGAATCATAATGTGATACAAATGTAGGAAATACTGTTGGGTAGGCTGTTCTCGTCACTAACAGATCGGACAGACACTGAAAATGGAGTGAGAATTGTGAGCAAAAGGTGATACACAGCGATTGGAGCGAAGGTAAGGCCTATTACTGTATGTGATGTGGAGATGACAGCGACTCTCCATTCAATTCATACATAGACTTACAATACTGTAAGTTATAATGAGTTTTGTATGCATTGAATGGATGGTAGGATGAAATGAAGTCCTCTCTCTCTCTATGTCTAACCATTGTGTTCCACACGCTCTCCACATATTCACTACACATGTATTGAGACTCAATTCATGCCACAGAATCCAGTCTACATTACTTACATACAGTACTGTTCAGTAACTACCAGTGCTATTAGTCTAACAATTTGGATGCCCTGCTTTTTGGTTTTAATTAATGTAAATACATGGAGAGTTACAATTATAATATATATATACAGTATATATATAAGCCCACATAATTGTCCCAAAATATAGTGTTTTATATAATAATATATTTATAATAATGTTTGGCTATTGTATGATATTTAGAGAAGAGATGAGTGTTTGGAGTGATGTTTGAGTGAATGTAAAGCTTTGTGGAAAGACACGCGCTCTGAGTGTATGACTGGAGAACACACCTGAAGATAATCGATATAATGATTGCCTTATTTTATATTAGTTTCTCTTAACAATTACAGTCAGTTCCTAACGATCCTAACGATCACCAATTATGATGAAGGCTCACAACAAAAATCGCAAACACCCGACCTGTTCCCGGTGCAGATTTCACGGTATCTTTCCTCACATTCTTTATCAATTTCATATTCAAACTCTTTATTATGTATTATACGAATAGAGTGTTATATACGGCATAATGTATTCAAGTATTGATTGTTTGTATTAAAACTCATTATATTTGTTTAAAGGCAAGAAAGACATCCGAGTACTGCAGCATCAATGTCCATTTCGTAACTGTACATGTTCCAGTTGCTTTCTAATTAAGTAAGTCACTATTCTTTCTCCACTCTACTATACTCTACTCTACTCTACTGCCCATTATTACGATAATTTCCATTATTGACATACATTCGTATGGAATACTCTAATTAAGGTTAACTGCATATAAGTTACACAAACATTGTTTCAGTTTCTTAATGTTTTTTATATAATACCAATCGATAAACTATTTTTAAATTTTCTTTTTTATTTATTACCCAAGCGTTTAAATAAAATTCTTGAGACTTGTTTAATAAATCAATTCATCCAGTATACACTTTTATAATTATGGATGCGATGAATAATCACATAATTATGGTTTTTATTACAGGAGGCGTTCAATCATATATAGGGCTCAGAAGAACTTAGACAAAACCGAAGATACTTCGAATGGCGCCGAATCACCCGGTAATTCACTACTTGTCATTCAATCACATCCATACATCCATATCCCATTCCTACTGCCTGTATCCCAATATGTCATACAGTACATATATCTAATGTCTAATGTATTCATTTGCAACAGTAGGGTCAGGCGACGGATCCATTATTTCCAATAGTTTTAATGATATAACTACCAAAAGTGGTGCCAATTGTTCGATCAGTAGATCATCTGATAGTTCTTCTGATGCAACCAACTATGGAACCGCTGGTGTGTCATCAGAAATAGCAAGTATTAGTTCTGGTGGACAGCCGTGGAAGTCATCAGAACACATGGGACAGCACTCGGGAACAGCTGCCACTCCTCCCTCTTTCATAAAAAGTTCAGATCATTATAAGATCAGTGATTTCCAGAGTCTTTGCCTCACATTCCCTGAACTGACGGCAACACAACTGCAATCGATTTTCGAACAGTGCGGTAATGACTTCCAGAGGACCATCGACAGGGTTCTCATGAATAAATGGTGTCAATCAGACATCGACTCCAGTCATACCAGTCATCCGAAGCCTAGTCTGCAATCACACAACAACAACGACTGGTCGACCACTTGTACATCATCTTCAATATGCGGAGACTATGCATCAAATACCACTCCATTCACCCGATCCACTCTACCCTCCCTTATGGCTGCAGACTCCATGTCCACTCATTTCTATAATAACTCTAATAATAGCGAACAGTGCTATGACTGGCGGTCTAACTCAAGCACCGGCGCTCTCAACGATGACTTGTCTAATAGTGACTATGGGAACGACTATTACTACGACCAGGTATTCAGCGCCTACCCCTAATTATAATGAATCAGTTAACCTATAGTTTGCTTTGTATTTGCAGTCATCACTGTCTTGTGCTGTGATGTCAACACAGGGTAATAATCATCAGGCTATCAGTGCCGGTGGCAGTGCCAGTGCCAGTGCCAGTGCCAACTGGAACTACGATTATACCGGTTACTGGTATAACAATCTACAGGGTAATAATGGTAGTAATGGCAGTAATGGCAACAGTCAAGCATATGAGATGAGCACCGGTTCTCACACACCAGAAGACATGGGATGGCCTACTGGACAGAACGGTCCACCACTTGCCTTAGGACAAGCGATGCATGAATACAACATATAATGGATATAAGGGTCTAATGCTATCTAATCATATGTTCACCAATTGTTGTGATGATGTATAACCTGAAGACTGTCTTAATGTTTATCATATGTTTCATATCCGACACAATTGACAAATATATATAAATACGCTATAAGTTTATATAATATATTTCAAACATTTATCAATTCATTTTGAACTCAATTATAATTTGATTAACGGCTCAAAACATGACTCCAATCCCTATCTTAATCCACTTGTCATTAAGAAAAGGATTGCATTGTATATGAAAAGTACAAAAAAGATGTTATAATTATAATTATATAAATCAAAACTTATAGTTTGAGCAAAAATCATAATTTCAATTCTGTTACAAATTGTTCACATATTACTTGATATGACTTTTGTGTTATTGTATAACAAATCTAATAATTTATTCTCTTTTATAAGCATTTCATAACTCAATACATGTTTCACCGTTTTTACAGTCAATTGCTTTCACATGATTGAATCAATTGAATCAATTGAATCAAACCAATTACTGTTGATTACATTTGTGTTCACATATTTCTATTGTTTTTAACGTTTCATTGCAACAAATGTTTAAATTTTATTAAATTTCATAATATGATGACACAATTGATTGATTAATACTCCAACAAATAAATACCAAAATCAATAAGTATTGTATGAATTGCTTTGAATGGACAGACAATCTGATGATAGAATTGCTTTGAATGGACAGACAATCTGATGATAGCCTACAGGCACTCACGAGTCAATGCATGCATGGGTTGGCCAATTGGGCCACCTTTCGAGGCTCACAGGCATAGGTGATGGGACACGACATCTGTGTCCAACTGATCGGCTTCATAGGTATCCCTTCAATGAGATAAACATACAGACAATTACACAATCATTGAGACATTCACGACAGACAGACACCTGAATGGTTGAGCGCCACCACAACCCCCAACTCGTTGTGAGCGGTGGTCACCAAACAGCTGTTGTTCTCTCCAAAGCCAATCACTTTCGCCAGTATTATATCTGAAGGTCTGAAACAGTTGCAGATCTGTGTCTTCTCGCTGTCCACCTCTTTGATGTCCTCTTTCCTCAACAGAGCCCTAAACGGCTGCTTCAGGACCTGTCCCTCAATGCAGTGGATGTTCAGGCGAACCAAATTGCATGTGATTGACAGCACCCGACACGTCACTATTGATCCCAATTGTGGCACCAAATGTCTGTTGCCATCACCGCTCACTGTCACCACTTCTATGGTCTTCTGCAGACATATAACACATTCACTCAATGCATACCATTATTACAAATATATGGCGAACCGTATTGTCATTATTGTGGACCAGTTTAACGGTTCCGGCGATTGAGGCATAGATATAACCATTGCGTGAATACGTGCCCTTCAGACCAGTCATCCACTCGTCACTCTTGACCAGACAATCGCCTGTCAATGAGTTGTCAGTGAATCCATTGAGACATGCATTCAGACATCAATACACACCTGGAATACAATGAATTGTTTTGTCCATCACTTGCTTTCAATCCAAGAGTTGGTGCCAATCGTGAAGAGTGTTGTGTAGTATGGAGTTGTGCGCAGAGATGGCACTGATGTCTGCATCCCTGCCCTCCCGTCCCTCCCGGCGCTCATATGACATAACAATACATTTGTTTTGATTGCAGTTATCAACGAAACACTGGTCTGAATGGTGTTTACAAGAAGTGGATGACATGTGTCAGTCAATGGTGTGTATGGCTTGTGGTGTTGTGGTGGCCCTCATGTGGATGGCGTGCATCTCATCCCTCGATGTCATCGATTCCAACGCCAGGAGTGAGACACCGGTCAACACGAAGACTGATTCAGACATCTCTCTCTGGATCGATGAGAAACAGGTGAAGCAGTTCTTCAATGGTAAGTGTTGTGTCATTTGATGACATAGTGGCGATGTTGTGGTGATGTTGGACTCACTACAGGGTTTCCGCTGAAGATCTACGCCATCCTCGATGGCAATGTGTTGCCGTATGTGTTGGACCCAAATCTGGACAAATATCTGCCAACACTTCCCTTTTCGGTGTCTTCGGTGAACCTGACGTGGAAGTCGGGCGACCATCACATGTATTCATACGATTTCGATGAACTGGTCTCTTATAACCAGGAGATACTCAGTCAACCCATCCTTTCCATTGAGGTGTGTCTCATATTTGTATTCATATTTCGTATTCAATATGGAATCCAATGAATCCAATGAATCCAATAATGTTATCCAATATTATTTACCAGTTGTTTGTATTTTGTTTGTTTAGTCCAAAGGCAAGGTCCCGAAGAAAGCCAAAGTATTTCAGGTGTTTATCCCATGCGTTGGTAATGTCAGTGGAATCGCCACTTTCACCATCGGCTTAAGAATTATTAACTCCGAGACTAATCAGAATCTCGTGGGAACTCCTCTGCGACTGAAACTTCAGAAACAGTGCGCCGACAGTACACCAGATCCTGAGTGCGACAAGAAGTGCGGAAATGGCAAATGTAACCAAAACAAGATCTGCGAGTGTCCTACAGGTGGGATGTCCTACAAGACTATTTGCATTCATTCTTATATGACTTTTGTATGAAATGCAGGTTTTTTGGGCAAATTCTGTGAATCAGGTATTTATTGAATGCTATATTTGATCAAACATTTGGTGACATAATGTCTCTGTCCCTAAGCTTTATGTTATCCCCAGTGTATGAATGGTGGTACTTGTGTCGCACCGGGAGTTTGTTCCTGTGCTCAAGGATTTCAAGGCTTTTACTGTGAAGTAAACTCAGATTGTGTACCAAATTATCACTGAATAGTCACTCAATTGTAATGTCGTTTAAAGGGAGGCATTTGTGGAGAGAAGTGTCTGAATGGCGGCAAATGCATCCAAAAGGACATGTGTTGGTGTCGTAGAGGTTATTATGGGCCCCGGTATGCGCCAGTATTGTCTATATTTAACTATAAATGTTATACAAGATTTGAATGGCTATTAGCTGTGAATACTCGAAATGTGTGATCCCGTGCCTCAATGGCAGCCGTTGTGTTGGAGTGAATCGATGTCGTTGTAGGCGAGGGTTCATCGGCTCTCAGTGCGAGTCCATCAGCGACGACAAGAACCAAGCTGTGAATACTCGAAATGTGTGATCCCGTGCCTCAATGGCAGCCGTTGTGTTGGAGTGAATCGATGTCGTTGTAGGCGAGGGTTCATCGGCTCTCAGTGCGAGTCCATCAGCGACGACAAGAACCAAAGCTCTCACAACCATAAGCCGGTCGTCAAGAAGAAGCGAAAGAAATTTGTTTGAAATGATTGATTGATATTCATATCAATTGATTAGATTTACGTCTGAATTCATGTGAAAGAGCTGTGATTTCAATGATATTCGTATCGCTTTCTTGTCATTACATTCATATTATGCCAATCAATGATCAGTTAATCACAACAACTTATGCCAAATCTCTACTCCAGGATCTGATTCAATGTGATAACAAATCAAAAAATATTTATCATTATTTACAATGAAATGTTTTCCAAATTCGCTCATTTTATAATATGAACAAGCATATTTATATGAATTATTAGTTGACAATCAAATGTGAACCACTGAACGGGGATGTATTACCCCATTATATGCAATGATGAATACTTACAATGAATCGTTATTAATCAATATACATTTTGGAAACAAGCATATTTATATGAATTATTAGTTGACAATCAAATGTGAACCACTGAACGGGGATGTATTACCCCATTATATGCAATGATGAATACTTACAATGAATCGTTATTAATCAATATACATTTTGGACATTTCATTCAATTCTGATTAAACTATATTTAAGAATAAAGCTTTTCGTCTAATAAGATTACATACATTTAGATATATTGTCACGAATATAAAATAACTTAAAATAAAATATAATTATTTGATTTTAAAGAATTTAATGATAAGAATTGTATGATTAATGAATAGTATTTGCCTTCATTTGTGTTTATTATTGATGAGACAATTTCAAGTTATCTATCGATTGGAAGTTAAATATTTAAATTCATATACGTTAGTATAACTTTACCTTTATATACCCTTACCCTTACCCTTACCCTTAACTGGACCCAGGGCTTAACTGCAAGTAATTCATGAAATGAAGTACGATATTGTTTGACTAGTAAAATAAAGATTTATTTTAATTAAATATTACATTTCGTGACAAAATAAAATAAATAAATTATATTCAATCAGTCATATTAAAAATGATTAAAATTATAAGTTTATAAGAAGTGAAAACATTGAAATAAAACATTAAATTAAATATTTGGAGTGCTTTGACTGAAATTGGCTAAAATTAAANCAAAATAAAATAAATAAATTATATTCAATCAGTCATATTAAAAATGATTAAAATTATAAGTTTATAAGAAGTGAAAACATTGAAATAAAACATTAAATTAAATATTTGGAGTGCTTTGACTGAAATTGGCTAAAATTAAATAGTCAATAAATAAATATTTAATTTGAATGAGACTTAATTCTATTAATATAAGCAGGGAATATGTGTTATTTAAAAGAATAATAAATATTTATTATATTGTAACAACATTTTGATCATCAAAATTTGATGTATGAATTGTAAAAATGATATTTTGTGACAAATGCATGGTTGTTCTCATTAAATTGACTTTCATTGTAACTTATAGAATTTATTCATTATACTGTATTTAAAACTTAAAAAACACAATCTTTGCTTAATAAATGAGAAATTATAATATAATAACCAGAGACTGAGACACAAAAAAGTATTATTTATGAGTGAAATTTAAGAAATAAAATTATTATAGGATTATTTAGTCAATTCTAGAAAATCTACTAATAAACAGTGATTGTAAAATTAGTGAACAAGTCTTCAAATTGTAGCAAGTGACAATCTCACGTCAATGTTGGTAATAATAAAACAATGAAATATTTGTTATAAAAACATAAAGGCTTCAATAGACTAACTTGTAAGACTAGTACTGTAAGAGCTAAATTTACAATACTATAAAGTAGTTTTCATGTAAATTAACGAGTTTTACAAAATATTTCATATTACAATATCAATATATAACTATTATATATACTGTATAATAAATTAAAAATTTATAAATTAAAGTATAATAATATTTGACAATTTATTGAATTATTATTGAAAGTTTAAAACTGTATTCATATTTAAACAAATAATTTTATATTATGTTTGAAAATGTAAATATGTTTTTATGTAAATTTATTGTTAACAAAGTGTTTAACTCTCAATAGTTTACTCAATTAAATATATAAAAACTGATTCTTATATCACTTTAAAGTGAATATAAATTTAGATTTTGTTTCAAATTGACTTTCGATGTATAAGTACAGTACAGTATAAGGAATACAGTATAACGTCATTTAATGTTATGTATAATATACTGTACATACAATGTACAGAATTAATATATTATATAATATTTCGTTATTCAATTTATTTAAAACATTTAATAAAAATCAAAAAAGCGTTTAACATTCAATAATTAATTCAATTCTTATAAATATTTCCAATTCTTAATGGTATTCAATGGTCAAAGTTATCGCAAATATAATGAATTACTTTACAAAACTGTTAATATAAGTGACATATGAAGTGAATTAAATGATATTTGAATGGCAAGAATGAGCTCTAA